ATGAACTCAGCCAATCGTGTAATATAGGTGTCGTCATCGCAGCTCTTCGCAGTTGTTTTTCAGATGCTGCACCGGCTGAATCAGTCGTCTGATCTCGGAGTGCTGTCGCGGTACTTTGATTCCACATGTGACAGTCATGTGGCATCCGTGCAGCATTAATCCGGACAACAATTTTAAGACAAATTTCGATCGATCTGTGCAGTGTACCAGCTATGCATGGCTTTAACGTGTAGTTAAATTTTTTGAGAGGTGCGCTTCAGCCACTGCGATTGTTATACGTCATACGCGTGCACTGGGCGCAGATGTAAAAATCAGCCTTAAAGTCAATGAACTGAAAGCTGCGACCGTTATTCTTTTCGTAATGTGATGCATTTACTAGAGAAAGGAATTTTAAATGAGCAAACAGTGGGCGTGGATTGTTTTTTCTACCACAGGCTAATTGAATGTATTAAAGTAGGTAATTCATTCAGAAAGATTGGGAAAGAGGTTTTAGAAGAGTTATTACAACCTAATGCTGTGTTCCCTTCAGACGCGGAAGGAGCATCAAGCGCAAGTGATGTTAAGTCATTGCAAAATGCATGGATAGACATCCAGCGGTGTGATATGCACGAATGGTGCAATACGCATGAATGGCACGGCGCGAATTGAGCGCTTGATGCGCTCTACGAGCATTTCGTGCGAATCGATTGAGTTTGAAAAATCTGAACTTCAGGGACATTCGTGCTGCATCAACCAATCAGGAGCTTGCTCTTGTGGGGGCGTGATTATGACGTATCGCCTGTTCTTGGTGTCCCGGGGGAAAATCCTCCTGCACACACCGACAACAGTTCATCAAACTGGGCTCGGCTCAGATAGAAGCACCGTTGATTGCTTCCATCATCCACGTTAAGTTTCTGGAGGCGTTTATGAGCTCACAGAGCTGGGTGCACCTCTGAAAGGATCTAATGGACTCAGAAACTGCTCCAAATGAATCAATGCTGTTTTTTTTAGCCTTTATAAAGCACATAAACAGTTATTCTCTCAATAAAATCTATGTTAGCCATTTAGCAATGAAGCTACAGTGATCGGGCAGACAGAAGCCCTGTCCATAATGCGAATCCGCGTCTGTTCTGAAGTGAATTTGACGAGCAATTTAAGCAAATTTGACACGCAAATGAAGCAGTTTTTGACACACAAATGAAACGAGTAAACTCAAATGTTCATGCGTCTAGCGAGATTTATCCGCGCATTCCGCGTCTGGTGTGAACACAGCATAACAGACTCCTCCGGCTCATTGGAGGGGCAAGGTTAAATATGTTAGCCATGCCCATTACCTCAAAATACGTAATCCATAAACAAACTGTAAACAAATAGAAAGTGCATTTTCAGATTTCAGTAAGGATTAGATGGACAAACCTTTTTTTTTTTTTTTTTTCCTAATGACATGCACAGATTGTTCACCATAACACTAATGTGAGCTACCAAAATCATATGGTTAGTTTTGATTTCTTGGAGACCAAGTCTGCCAAAGTTTTACTCATAATCGGGCACAAAAAATATACTAAACTCAATGCCAAACATATAGTAAACGCTAAATACAGTGTCTGCAATCACTGAAAGATATGTCAAGGGGCATTTTATTTCCATCATGCACCCTAATGCAGTAGACCAATCACAACAGACTGGGCCACCTGACCAGTTGGAGCAGAGAAGCTTTTTATTTAAAGCAGGGGTTAAGAAAGGAAAATGGGTGATTTAAAATGTATGCATGAGGAAATAAAATAGTTCTGGATGCATGTTTACAGTAGGAGACCTCCAAAACAAAATAAGCATTATGAACTGCATAAAAGGCCTATTTAAAGAGGGTGCTCGCATTGAAATTGTGTAAATGTCAGTGTATGTACTTGGTAATCGCAGTGTTTTCTTGTTTCTCATTGTCTCATATATCACAAAACACCTCCAGACAGTTCATCTCCATCAGAAATGACAGGCAATCGGAGTTTCTAACTTAAGCTACGTATTAGCATTGAAGGCAGATGTTGTGTTGAAGCTGGCAGGTTTAATGCTCTCACATTTGGAGGCGTTTGTGATCGGAGGATTCTAATGTTGCAAAGCACATCACACGGCAATGAAATAACGAAGGTTTATTTTTTTCTGCTCTAATATTGTGCTGTAGGTATGATAATTGAAGTGTGCTGTCATCATTTTCAAGCTCATCGTGGGCACACAGCATATACTGTATATATAGTAGTTAAATATAGATTTTTATACAGCACTGTGACAATTTACACCTAATAAAATACAACTGCCCACAGAACATTTCACATGTATAAAGTGAAGACTGTCAAGTTAAATTGAGATATTAATTTAAATAAGTTTAAGCCATGTTTGTCCTTTACAATATTAGCAGCTTTTCTGGAAATGATTATTTAGTGTTTATTTCTATGAAGCACTATATATGGAAGACAATTATGGAAAAAATGAAGGGACAGTTTGAAAACTTCACATGATTTATGTTTTATTCTGTAAACTATACTGTTGACATTTATTCTAAATTGAAAATAAAAGAAATTGTGGACATTTTGCAGTTTTTCTTTTTCATTTCTTTTTTCTTTTCTTCTTCTACTTGGACTTTTTGTTTTTCTTCTTTTCCTTGTTTTCTTTCTTCTTTTTTCCTCCTCCCTTCTCCATTTCTTCTACTTCCTTCTCTTTTTCCTCTGTTTTGTCTTCTTTTTTCCTTAATTTTCGTTCTTTCTTTCTTCCTCCTGGGTCTTTTTCTTTTTTCCTCCTCCATCTTCTTCTTCTTTTACTTTTTTCCCCTTTCTTCTTTTTTGTCTCATTTTTCTTATTTTTTCTTTCTTTTTTCTTATTCTTTTTCTTTCTTCCTTCTCCTCTTCCTCATACCCAATCTTCTTCTACTTCTTTTTTGGTCATTTTTCTTGTTTTTTGTTCTATCTCTCTTTTCTTCTGCTTTCTTCGATTTTCTTTTTATTTTCCTTATTTGTTTTCTTTCTTCCTCCCCTCCTTCTCCATCTTCTTCTACTTTTTCCTTTTCTTCTTTTTGTCTTCTTTTTTCTTTTTTTTGTTCTTTTTTTTACTCCTGAGCCTTGTTTTTTTTCCTAATTTTTTTTCTTTCTTCCACCTCCTCTCCTCCTTCTCCATCTTCTGTCTTCTTCTTTTTATTTTTTTTTGCTGTTTTGTCTTCTTTCTTTCTTTCTTTCTTTACTCCTGCTTTTTTCTTATTATTTTTCTTTCTTTTTTTCTGTCCTTTTTTCTTTCTTCTTTCTCTTCCTCCATCTTCTTCTTTTTCCTTTTTTCTTTTTTTTGTTCTTTCTTTTCTCCTGCTTCTTTTCCTTATTATTTTTCTTATTTTTTTCTTTCTTCTACTTCTTCTACTCCTTTCCTCCTTCTTCTCCATTTTCTTTTTTTACTTCTTATTTTCCTTTTCTGTAGTTTTTTTCTTTTTTACTTTGTTTTCTTACTTCCTCCTTTTCTTCCTCCTCCACATTTTTCTTCTACATCCTCTTCTTTTTCCTTTTCTTCTTTTTTGTCTTAGTTTTTCTTCTTTTTTCTTTCCTCGTTTTTGTCTTTAAATACTTTTTAACTTTCTTTTTGCTCCTCCCCCTACCATCTTCTTCTTTTTCATTGTCTTCTTTTTCGTTCTCTTTAGTTTCTCCTTCTGCTTATTTATTAATATTAATTTTCTTCTTATTTTTTCTTTCCTCTTTCTCCTGATCCTCCATCATCTTCTTCTACTTCTTCTTTTTGCTTTTCTTCTTTTTGTCTTTTCTTTTTTGTTCTATCTTTTTTGCTCCTCCTGGGTCTTTTTCTTCTTCTTTCTCTTCTCCTTCTTCATCTTGTTTTTTTTTCAACTCTTCCTCCTCATCATTAATTTTTTTCTTCTACTTTTTCTTTTTCATTTGCATTTTCATTCTGTCATTCTTTCCTCCTGTTTCCTTTTTCTCTTCATTTTCTTTTTTTCTATTTCTTTCTTTCTACATACATAAAACATAAACACAAAACAACACAACACTAATGCTTTAACTTCAGACGATCAATACTTGGTTGGATAACCATTAGAAAAACTAGAGACATTTTGACCAATTATCATGTAAATGTGGAAAACAATAATGTAAATGTGATACACAAAATAAGGGGGTGTTGTCTAAATAAGCTGCTAAATGTCTGCTAAAGCCACGGTGGCTCAGTGGTTAGTGATGTCACCTCACATCGAGAAGGTCGCAGATTTAAGTCCCAACTGGGCCAGTTGCTGTTGTTGCTGGATATGCGGTCTAAGTGAACTAAATTGCCCATAGTGTGAGTGTGAATGGCTGTTTCGCAGCGCTGGGTTGTGGCTAGAAGGGCATCTTCTGAGTTAAACATATACTGAAATAGTTGGTGGTTCATTCCACTGTGGTGACCCCAGAAAAATAAGGGACTAAGCCGAAGGAAAATAAAAGAATGAACGAATGAATGAATACATCACTGTATTGAAATACTTTCAGTAAAATGACTGTTATTTTATGATCATATTTGAGAATTCTGGACAATGAAATATATGAAACCTACAGTACTCGACTATCCCTTTTGACCCTTTAAAATAGCAAATAACTAGTTTCTTTTTCCTTTTGTCATGTGTTATCTTGCCTCCGGTACCCCCTCAAAAACACACTCCCCTGGTTATCTTAATTGTTTAAAATTATGTGGCTCCTAATTAACACATGCAAATGAATCCTAATTGCTCTCACTAATGGGCCATGCTCTTATCAATTCATTTATCACAGTTTTCTTTTAATTGTAGGAGAAAAAAGCCTGAAATGTGCTTGATTGATGCTTGTATCGTGAATATTTAGCAAGCATTTGTGGAATCTGACATTTATGATAAAGAAAGTACAGATGTGTGTTAAGATTTCAAAGGATAAAAAAAACATTAATTCAGGATCTAATTTGATCACTTTCAGCCTGTCAATGCTAATAGCAGTTTAGTGAACACTGACAGAGTTTCTCTTTTTCTCTTGCAGGATTTGGTGACCAACGTGTCACCGCGAATCGTGCGTGGGACAACCTCAGGTCACATATTCGGTCCTGGTCAGGGCTCATTCCTCAACATCGAGCTCATTAGTGAAAAAACTGCCGCTTACTGGTGCAAGAGCGTGGCTGAACTCAAAGCCGACTTCCCCAAAAATGTGAGTTCACTTTCAGCTCGGCATGTGACTTCTAATGTCTTTATCTCTTCTCTATCTTCCTCCTTTTTCTTGAAACTTTAATATTCCTGCAGAAGTTTTCTCATAATGCGATTCATTACTTTGTTTCTCACTTTTGGAGAGCGGGAAGCCTGTCAGTGTTTTATCAACAGCCATAATTCTCCATAACAGAGGTGCCATCTTTTTTCCCTCGGTTTCTGTCCTTCAGTAATTCGAGTCCCTTTTGCGGCGTGCATGTTAACTGCTTCGCGGGTAATTGTGTAATAGAATCTCGCTAATAGAAGATTTTCCGAGGCCTTCCTTCTCTTCTCCCTCCTCTCGGTCGCTAGGCAGGCAGATGACAATAGCTTTTTGTAGTGTTCTTTTCATCACAATCAGCCATCTCTTTTCTCTCTAATCATTTGCAATGAGACAGCCCGTTTGAGCACAAAATAACTTCCTCAAATTTTGTTGTCTGCCTGCTTCACTCAAGGGTGAGATTAATTTTGAATTACAGGGTGTAATTAGGAGGCACAACGTCACTTTTCACACTAACCCTCCAGGCCCTCTTTCACACAATTGTGCCTACATGTATTTTTTTTATTTGTATTTTTTTTGCAGACTGGGTTTTAACCTCACTGTCTGGATAGGCAAATATATTCTTTGCAACATCCAATCCTTAACTGAATCTTATTGAAGTAGTCATAGGCTATGTTTCCATCCAAAAATGCGAATTAACTTTATGCGCAAAACTGGATTGTCTCATTAAAGAAGTGCGAATAATACAGCATTTCTTTCCAATGAGTCAAAAAGAACTCGTCACTTCCTGATTAACTGGCGTCAAATATCAACAGTAAAAATAAAATTTGCTGAGGTAGGATAAGCTGCGCGAATCTTTTCTTTATTATATAAATGACCTGCGCCTCAGAATTAATTAATAATATAACAGCACACTAATACTGAAATGGTTAAGATGTTTTAGAATGACCAAAACAACATTTCAGATGTTTTACAGTGTGCTCAGCCTACTGGTTAGTCCATTCCCGCACATTTTCATCATCACATGATCTCTTATATCAAAATCACATGACCTTTTTTATATGCGCATACTGGAATTTGTTCGGTAAAAATGTTTCCATCGCAGTTTATCTGTTCTTAACAAATAAAAAGTTTGCCCTACTCCGTTATGCGCATATATTTTTTATATGCATTTTCCAAATTTATGGGCATCATGGTGTTTTCGTCAACCTTTTTTTTTTTATGTGCACTTGCAAAATGCGCTAAAAATAGGATGATGGAAACATAGCTAGTGTGCATCATAAACTTTTGGTAACATAGGCTCATTCTGAATATGTATCGCTATACATTTCTGAAGATTGTGAATTATGTAGCCAGAAGTATGTATGGCTGCACTTTATTTATAAAACAAACGCTACAAGGCAGTATGACGTCGTATCTTTTTGCGCTTACCAGCTGACCGCTTACCTCTATATGGCTTTCCTGCTGTCACCAGTTTGTCCAGTTAGCTCAACATGTATGTTGGTGGACTTGAGATGCAGAGAGTCAAAGCAGAGTTCAAGTCCAGCAAAGAACGGTTCCAGAAAGCAGGTAAAACAAAAACAAAAAAATAAAATAAATAAGTAAAAAACAGGATGACAATGTGGTAAAATCTGAAAACGTAGTGAAAGTCATTTGAGGGCTTTTTTTTTCTGGAATACTTTTTTAAAATTGTGCTTTGGTTTAGGGAAGGAGGAGGGTGGGTCAGTCGATCGGTCAGTCAATCAGTCTTCAGTAAGTTGTCAGCGGCCTTTGGTGGACTGACACGAGAAAAGAAACTTGCAAGAAAAATTTGTGACCTCAAAAGGCGTACACAGCGGCCTCTTGTGGATTCGCAAAAACAAAAACTGCAAAAAACGTACCTCCTGGGACATATTTGGCGCTCTCCAGAAACATGTATAGAGGTACGCTTTCAGAATGAGCCTGGGTTGACTTTTGTTAACTTTGAATTTAGCATTCGAAGCTAGTAAAGTAAAATGAGAAGCATGTACATATTTGGTAAACGTTGTTTTTTTGTCTTGTTAATATCTAAAAATTCTTAAATCAAGAAGCATTTTCTAGACAAGCAAAAAATGCTGTCTTGTTTAAAAAAAAAAATAATATGCATACAGCTATTCTGCTGTATGGATATTCGTTATGTTAATGTAGAAGATAAACCTGATTTAACGTCCACAGCACGAGATTGAAGCATCTTCTTTTAGAACTGTACTGACGAGGCTATGGTGATTAGGCTGAAGTAAATTGCTGTAATTCATTAACATGCACGTTTTAAAAATGTTTTAAACTTGTAAAACTCACTCTTAATGATCATTTGGTGATGATTGATGATCACAGAGAGCTGAACAGATCTTTTATTCCCGCTTGCTTTGCACACATCGTGTCTTGTTGATATGATTATACGCACTACTGCGGGGACATGTTAATACACAGCTGTCAATCAATTCGGTGGCCGGGGAAACTGCACTCCTATGTCACATTACAGTGGGGGTCAAAATAGGAGGGATTTGGATGCTATTTTAATGTCAGGAAATTTAAATAAAGAGACTTATTGTCTTTAAATTACTCTAATATAACAGTGGACACACTATACCCACACAAAGTTCTATCCAAACAGCTTACAAAAGATAATTTTCATCATAGGTGCCCTTTAATAAATATATATATAAATGTATTTTTTAATTTATTTTTTTGTTTTTTATTTTGGTATTTATTTATTTATTTATTTATTTATTTATTTATTTATTTATTTATTTATTTATTTATTTATTTATTTATTTATTTATTTATTTGTATTAATTAATCAATTAATTTATTTATTTATTTGATTGTTTGTTTGGTTATTTATTTATTCATTCATTCATTCATTCATTCATTCATTCATTCATTCATTCATTTATTAATTTATCTGTTGGTTTATTTATTTGTATGTATGTATATATATATATATATATATATATATATATATATATATATATATATATATATATATATATATTGTTTGCTCATTTGTGTGTTGGTTTTTATTATTGTTTGTTTGTTTGTTTGTTTGTTTGTTTGTTTGTTTGTTTGTTTGTTTGTTTGTTTGTTTGTTTGTTTGTTTGTGTATATATTTTCTTTTTTCTTGGTTTGTTTTTATATTTATTTATTTGTTTTTTTATCATTTATTTATATGGTTATGTATTTGACATTATTTATTTAATTGTTTGTTTGTTTGGTTGCTTGGTTGGTTATTTGTTTTTTTAATTATTTTATGTTTGTTGGTTTATTTATGATTTTTTGTTGTTTGTTTGTTCATTTATTTGTTTGTTTGTTTAATTATTTATTAATTAGTTTGTTTATTTATTTATTTAGCTGTTACAGTCTAATGAAGTTAGATTCAGTCAGTAGTTGTGACTTTTAAAAAACGATTATGATACGGTCAGATGAAACATGATTTTTAAAGTCTGGCTAAATTAATCTATTTTCATTTACACTGAACTACTTTATGAATCAAATTTACATTTCTTCATGATCAGCACTTCTCTCACTTCACCTCATTCATCATCTTGGATACGCGTTTTTACTTTCTGCCACAGTGCATCTCAGTTCCTCCTTCCCCCATAGTGAATGTATTACAATTTGCCTAAAAAAAGCAATCTTAGAAGCAATCGTAATTAAAATTCCTATATTTAGCTTAAAATCTGTTATCTGCAGGCAGCACATTGGATTGTAAAACAGAGAATCTTCCTCTTCCAGTCACATATCCAGTGACATAAACATAATATGCACGCCAAATAGTTCAGTAAGACTCTCATTGATAATTCTCATTGATTTTGGCCAGGTTTCAGCTATTCAACATGCCCATTATCTCCATTTACTATTTACAATTTCCATTTTCCCCCAAGCGCTCCTCAGCAGCATGTCGTGACCCGCGCGGGCCAGCGGCGAACACACTCTGGGGAGCGTTGAAGTGTGTGTTTGCTGGAGCTCATCACAGCGTGCGACCGGTTCGTGGTCAGGGGTGATGGGCGCGCGCCGCTGGATGAAATGAATACTCAGAGAAGCGTAATGAATAACGAAACCACCGCAATAATGTCAAATTATACTGGCGGCCTCACAAACACTCTCTCTGCTCAGTGACTGAAGAATAGACGCGGCATGTAGGAGAAGAAGAAAAAAAAAAGATACGACCCTTTTCTTTTTTTAATTTCCTCATATCATGACATGATTGGCAGTTTCCACAGTGATGGGGGTCTCTAGAGGGCCAGTGTTGCCAGTGTTGGCGGATGGGTTCGGTTACCTCAGCTCAGTGTTATTAAAGCGATAACAGGGTGATTCCTGTGCTTCTCAGAGACACAGCCTGTCTTGCTCATTTTGTCTTTCTCTATCTCTCTTTCTCATTCTCTTCTCTTTTCTGTTTGGAAAGGTGGGAAGTATCAACGCTTATTTCTGCTACAAAATAAAAAATATGTATAAATAAAAGGTAAAATATACAGTTGAAGTCAGAATTATTAGACCCACCCCACCCTGTTTATTTTTTTCCCAATTTCTGTTAAACGGAGAGCAGATTTTTCAACACATTTCTAAACATAAAAGTTTTAATAACTCATTTCCAATAACTGATTTATTTTATCTTTGCCTAGATATTTTTCAAGACACTTCTATACAGCTTATTAACTAGGCAGGTTAGGGTAATTAGGTTTGTTCTGTAAACTATTGAAAAAATATAGCTTAAAGGGCCTAATAATTTTGATTTAAAATGGCTTTTAAAAAATTAACAACTACTTTTATTCTAGCCGAAATAAAACAAATAAGACAAAATATTATTTGACATACTGTGAAAATTCCCTTGCTCTGTTAAACATCATTCGGCAAATATTTAAAAAAGAAAAAAAAATCGAAGGGGGGCTAATAATTCTGACTTCAACTGTGTGTGTGTGTGTGTGTGTGTGTGTGTGTGTGTGTGTGTGTACACACATATATATATATATTAGTGCTGTCAATCGATAAAAAAAATTAACTAATTAATCGTACTTTTTTTTAATTAATCGCATTTAAGATACTGAAACGTGTAATTTTGGCTATTCAAATGTAAAATTACTGTAAAAGCAAAACAAAAACTATTTAAATTCTAAATATAATTGTTTATTCGAATTTTTGTTTAACTTGTAACACAGATTTCTTCATGTAAACAACATACCCACAATAAACCATCAAGATCCTGCTTGACAGCCATAATTATTACAGAAATAAAACACAGGCATGTTAATGCCATTTGAATTTAAAAACATCAATGCCAATAAAGAAAACATTGATTTCCAAGTTGGATTCTAAGTGGACTGCAAAAAATGCCAAAATACAGGCATTGCAGATATAGAAAATGGAAATTAATAATAACAATAAAGTATTGAATACAAACAATTGTACTCATTGTAAAGTTATATTGCTGTGAGTTGAGAACATTAATTATAAAGTAGAAACTATTTTACTCAGTCGTCCTTTACATTCATCCAGTTGCTAAGACAGTTTAGTCCAGACATCCTAAGTCTCCCGGAAGTAGCTGGAGTATTCGCAAATGCACAGACTCCCGGATGCCCGCAAATAAATGATAATCTCCCGTAAATCTACCAAATGATTATATACAATTGAAGTCAGAATTATTTTCACAGTATTTCTAATAATATTTTTTTTTTCTTCAGGAGAAAGTCTTATTTGTTTTATTTCAGCTAGAATAAAAGCAGTTATTTATTTTTTTTTTTTTGCTATTTTAAGGTCAATATTATTTGCCCCTTTAAGCTTTATTTTTTTTCTGATAGTCTACAGTACAAACCATCATTATACAATAACTTGCCTAATTACCCTAACCTGCCTAGTTAACCTAATTAATCTAGTTAAGCCTTTAAATGTCACAGGCTGTATAGAAGTGTCTTGAAAAATAACTAGTAAAATATTATTTACTGTCATCATGGCAAAGATAATGTCCCGGTGCTCCCGGTGTCCCGGTGTCCCGGTGTCCCGGAAATGTCCCGGTGCTCCCAATGGCCAGTCCACTATGGCGAGTGGATAGTGCCACGGATAACCAAACGAAGGAAACCATAGTCCGCCCCTGCCCCTACCGCTCTTCAAGGACGTCGCCCGCAACTCACCCCCACCGCTCTTCATGTACGTCTCGCGCGCACACACCCCTACTCAGATACGTAACTCACCCCACCCCTGACACACACACACACACAACGCGCCGGAGTGACTCCCTTCAAATTCAGCACGCATTATCGCTCTAGATAGCCTGGAGATGCGACATTAATTCTTTCATACTGAAACTTGCCTTTAAAAAGTGCTTCCTTGATCTTATCCATGTTTCTTTGCATGTTGAACACACGTCCACCACAACAGGAAGTAAAAAAAATCTGCAACTGCGTTAATTGCGTTAATTTTTTCAAATTAATCGCATGTGTTAACGCACTAATTTTAATATATTATATATATAATTTATATATATATATATATATATAGCGTCTGTGTGTGTGTGTGTGTGTGTGTTGTCCTTTACTGACAGCCATGTGTGTGGATCTTGTCAGAAAATATGGCATAAAGTCCTACATGATGGTAATAGTTTGATTGCGGTGTTTACTTCAATAATGCCACTAATATAAGCATACTTCACATGTCTTAATTCAATTTCTGTTAAGTTCAGTCATGACTTAAGATGATCAAAAATCGCTGTTTCGAGCTTATGTAGGCCTACAATTGAAAATTCTTGTTTACCTGAACAGTTAGTAAACACAAGTACATTTTATTGAACATCATTTATTTTCATCACCAATTATCATAGTAGAATAGTTTCTCAAGCAGTTTGTGATTGATTTGGAAACAGGAGATAAGCCCGTTCTCAAAGACTTATTATTTGGGTAGCACACATATTCTGAATGTCTTCAGCAACATTCAAATGAACCATTTAATCTAGATTAATCTATATTAAAAATATCTATGCCCATCTATAATATATATCTTACCTCCTTTCCTTTTACACAAAATCAATAAAAGTACACAGGATGCTTTAAAATAGCCACAACAAACTATTTTTTTTTTTTTATTATTTAAGGCATCTTTTTTGAGAGTGTACAGATATACATGTATAGACAGAATACTGGCCCTCAGTTACTCTCCTGACACCAATAAAGCATTGCTGCTGCTTATTTTGACTCAGTCAGTCTCTGTGCTTGAGTGGGGCTCCCAGGAGCAAGCTGATAAGACGAGGTGGGTTTAGAGGCGCTACAGGTCCCAGAGCGTCCTGGCCAGATCCAGGATGGATGAACTCATAAACTTCAACACATGCTTTGGCCGCCAAGCGTTCCTCCCAGCACCCTTCATGCCCATTTGTTTCCCTTAAAAGCGCCCGGTGAGGAGGAGACACGCAGCGTATATCTCCCCGCTTTATGGTGCGATTACAGTGTCTCCGCATACAGCGAGAGTAATACAGCTAAATCCTGCCTTGCCACAGAGGAGCTGAATAATGCCGTCAGCGTGATGTTTTTATTGTTTTAATAATACGCGCGTGCCACTGGGCATCTACAAACGCACTGAATTATAAAGCAGCACAGTTTAAGGCAGGGTAATAGCTTTTGCTTGGAGCCGGGCTGTTAAAAAATGAAATAAATAAATGAGGATTAGAAAAAGTGGCTGATTCCCTGCAAACGCATCAGGTGAAATCGCACTTCATCAGTCATTTTTATTCCCCCTAAGGTTTTTTTTTTTTTCTTATTCTTCTCTCCTCACACTCTTTTCTTTTCTGTCTAGATTATCATTGCCAGTATTATGTGCAGTTACAACCAAGCTGACTGGACTGAGCTGGCAAAGATGGCTCAGGTAAGACACTATTGTGTGTGTGTGTGTGTGTGTGTGTGTGTGTGTGTGTGTGTGTGTGTGTGTGTGTGTGTGTGTGTGTGTGTGTGTGTGTGTGTGTGTGTGTGTGTGTGTGTGTGTGTGTGTGTGTGTGTGTGTGTGTTTTGCAAAGTTTACACTGCTTGCTCTGTACACAACTATCAAATTCAGAGATTAATCAAGCTCATTGTTGGCATGAAAATTCAATAAAACATGAATCCGTGAAATTAGTTAATGTTCTGAAAATCTTGTTCCTTAAGATATCTATTTCATTTACATGTTTGAAAGTCTGTTAATGTTAAGTGCCCCCCCCCCCCTCTCTTTTTCATATCGCAAAAAGAAGCATTTGTTTATCACATGCATTCTCAACACAGTGACAAAAACAGTCACATCCATATTCATAGTGTAAAGCCTCATTGGTTCTGTGGAAAGAGGCTTTTACATTAAATTTGCATTAGATACTGTATCACTGGATTTCAGCCTTTCGGGTGACAAAATCCAACTGTGCTCACAATCTGTGAATGACAAGTTGTAAAACTTTATAAAAATGTATGTTTGCCATAGCTTGAACAAACCCATAACCACACTGACCCTGATGGAAGGGTTTTTTCTTTGTCTAGTGGCCAAACAAAGGCATCATTTTGTTTACTTATTTTTCCCAAATATATATATGCCTTTCTCTTTTTCCATAAAACGGAAATAGAGACATTTTGATGAAAATTCTTGAAACTCTTTTCCATACAGTGTAAGTATATGAATATCCAGCCTGTCAGTTGTGTGAGTAAGAGATAAAGTACATCCAAGCTGTTGTTATTGCAGAATAAAGCCTGAAAGATTTGAAGTGAAAAACATTGGAATGAAGTATCCACAAATCTACATATTATTCAGTTGCAAGATGGAGCAAACCTGGACTGAAGGGTCTATTAAAAACAGAAAATGGCCAGATTAAGCATACACTAACCTGCATATTATTCAATCACATAGTGGCACCATACAGTCAAAAACAGGGGTGGAGACAGACAAGCATACACTGTAAATAGACGTAAATGTATTCACTCACAGTCAGGATCAATGGTCTCAGACTCAATTCCTGGAGATCCACAGCTATGTATAGTTTATCTCCACCCACCTCCAACTCACAACTGCTTAAAGGGTCACAAAACACATTTTTTTGAGATGTTGACAGTCTAATATTACACCACTCTGACACATGTATTTCACTAAAACGTGAAAGCTGGTTGTTTTTGCGTCATTTCGAGCAAATTCGTTCTTCCAGTTTAAAAAGAAATTTTGAAGCTACGTCATGGCCATGAGATCATTGTACAAATTCCAGCATGGAGATTGGATGTCTGTACCAGCTAGTACAAAGTGACGTCATTGAATTTTCAGCATTTACTCATGAAAAAGACTTGGTTCAAGTCATTCAGCATGCTCTATTTTGAATGAGGTGCAACTTCATTAATATGCATAATATAGCTTCGAAGACTCATTGTTCGGAGACATGGGTCGACTGTGTGGTCGACTGTTTTTAAATGTGCTGAAACAAAAGTTGTGCAAGCAGTTGATCTGCTTACACGCCACAAACAAAATGTTTGTAAGGAACAGTTTTTACCCGAGAGCTCTTTGAATCTGGATATGGTGAAATCTGGATTTGCCACTCGTCTTCTTTTAAGAAAAGATGTGTTTCCATATAGTGTTGATTGTACTGTCTCTACGGATTAGGTACCCTTTGGAAATGGTACCTAGCACAACAAAAGGGTACCAAAAGGCGGAGCAAGATAAGCAACTGAATGCTATTGGTTTACATAGATTCGTCACTCGCTCTTGCAACAAGCCTGAAGAATGAAAACAAAGGAATCTGCATTTTTAAAAACAGAGCCGAGGCATTAAACCGTAATATTATATACATATAATAGCAAGCCATGGTTGACCCGAACTCAAACAAACCTTGTTGTTGCCTTGATGAATAGCCACAAAGCCAAGAAGAAGAGCAGAATCTACCCTGTGCCCACCATAGTTTTTACAAGACCATCTAAAGCGCGAGCGGTTTATCTTTCTTGCGTGTGCTCGCCGCCTGTCTATTTTTGAACTAATGAACTTCTTGAGCTGATGATTATAATGTGTGTGATTATTAAAGTGCTTCTGACATCCGATCCTTTCAGAAACGCGAGAATGACACAAAAAAAACAAAGGAGAAGCCAGAAAAAACAAAGGAGCAAATGATTCTTTCAGCAACCTAAAACATGAACAAACTGCCATGTTTAACTATTATCATCACCTTTTGGACTATTACGAACTCCGAATGATGGATCTACTTTCTTACAGAGGTTACATGTGCTGGTGAAGATTAAAGATATACAGATGAGAGGTTTGCACTGACTGGACTATATGTCACATGTTGTTTTTGAACCCAAATAAGGACTAAGGCCCAATCCGAATTCTATTTTTATACCTCTACCCCTTCCCCTTGGCCTTTAAAACTGAGTCTAAAAAAAAAGAGCTTCAAAATTTACCCCTAAGAATTGGGAGAGCACTACAGCACCTGCACACGTCATCAGATGTCATCGCGATCTCATGCTTCATATGAGATCAGACGATGGCGAATGCTGTTGTTTTTCCAGTTGTGTTATTTTTTGGTATTTATCTTCAGGAAATCTCTAAAGGCATATATTATGTTCATTCCCAGCCACTAGACATTACTGACAGGGTACTGGAGTGTCAGAATGTTGAGGGACTGCTGTACAGGAGTTATAGATTATAGGTTGTGGAATTTGGTGGTTTTTATTTTAGCGTTTTAGCGTTAAAATACGTACGCGGTTATGAATATATTAAAACATATGTTTGTTTGTTGTAAAAATTTGTAAAAATGACAAAAAAAATTATAATTTGTGGATCTCATACTTCTGGGTGCAGCTATCCTGCCGTTGCGTCTGGTGTATTCTGGGAAATTCTTAGCTCTTAGTTTTGAGTTTCTTGGTCCTGAAAAATCTTTGTTAAAAGGGTATATACCCCTTTCCCTTAGCCCTACGTCTTCAAGCTAAAGAGAATCGAGAAACCCCTACCCCTTTATGGAAATACGCAAAACGAGCGATTGGAGAAGGGCTAAGGGGTGGAATTGGGATTGGGGTTTAATTAGGGTTATAGCAAAAATGTACAAAACCGGTCCTTTAGGAATTGAGTTTGAGACATTTGGTAAAGATAATTATTTTAAAGATATGTACCCAGATGAGTCTGTGTTATTGAGTGGTTGTTATCTTGGATTAACATTCCTTAGAACGTTACAACTGACCAATCAGAATCAAGTATACCAGACAGCCGTGTAATAATTTGTGACATTATAGATGTTATTAGTATCACTTTTTATAAATTAAATGCATTTAATGTATTGATTTACCCCTTTTCCCACACGTGGAACCATGGAAAAGTTATATGGACAGGTTAATAATGCCCCATTTTTAAGTTTTTGATTCCTTTAAACTGGGTTTAAACAGGTTAATAGTTTATGTCAAATAAAAAGGCCTGTCCTAGCAAGGTAAAAGTAAGGCTGCTATTGACTTCTTCCTAAAAGTCACAAATTCAATTGCGGTTGCTAGGTTAGCATACACTTGAGGGTTTCTGCAGACTGATGTTATTGCAGTCGACTTATGTGTTTGTCCTTGGAGGCGTTATAATTCCCACTGGAGCTATTTCGTTCTGTATGTAAACAACCAATGCTGATTTAGACATGACGTATGTAAATGTGGACAGGACCCTGCTATCACTAACATTTACTGCTGCTGGTGCTGTAATTGAGGTGTCATATGCTCTCGTACCTTCCTCGTCACTCGCTTACTCACACACGAACGTGCTCAGAAAACCTACACTTGCATGCATTTACATTGAGAAAACCCAGGAGAAGATTTGGCTTTTGCAGCGAGGAGTCTGGCATGATGGTGAGCTTCAAGATCAATGAGGAAGACATGTTTGTGAGGGAGTTTAGTGGGAAGTTTGGTGTACAATCATGTAAGTCGTTCTCTGCTGTTGTATTTTTATGACAATCTTCTTCCTCCTCTACATACTCATGATATAATTCACATCACAAAACAACCCACACTTTGGCCCAGTATTAAGATTTAACTATTAAATGTGAGAAAAAGAACTCTTTTTAGAGTTCAAAATTGTTTTAGTTTCAGTAGAGAGGTATTAAAGATAGATATAATTGCATTATTAATTGACTACCTTTCTTTTTTTACACACAATACTCAGAGAGGCCATGGGAAAAGTAATAGAATAGCAGCAAAACAGACACATGAACTAAAAAAAAATCTAAAAAGACAGGGAAATGCAAGTGCAGGCTGGAGAGCCACAGTCCAATCTACACAATCACAATCTAATAAACACTTGCCTACTTTTAGGTCCTATTTACACTAATACATTTTAGTTTTGCTGCGGTTACGCCTTCCGTCCACACTACCCTGGAGTTTTCGAGCCTTGAAAATGGAGGGATTTGGAAACGCTGCTGCTCCATGTCAGTGTGGATGGGGGAAAACGGAGTCTACTATTTGGGGCTTTTTCCTTAATAATAAAGTGCACAAAGTTTAGTCTTTACTCTTTCTTTAAGTTCAAATTGCGGCTGGAAGGGCATCCGCTGCGTAAAAACTTGCTGGATAAGTTGGCGGTTCATTCCGCTGTGGCAACACCAGATTAATAAAGGGACTAAGCCGACAAGAAATTTAATGAATGAATATTAACAGACACTAAAAATGTTGAGGCATCGTGTAGCTACATATCTATATGACTGTCACAATCACTGTGTGTATATTTTTAACAAAAGAAAGCCTATAACGTAACTGCCTCCTTTCATTTTCTTTGAAAAATATGAAACATAGCCTGTCTGTAATGTGAAGTTGACACTGACAAAAGGAGTGCGGTTCCAAACGCAGGTTTATTAAACAGAATGGTCAGGCAAGCAACCGTCAACACAGGAGCTAACAGATGTATACGAG